CTCAAAACCCTTAATTTAATCACAACTGCAAACCTTTCCTTGCCATATAAAGTAACATGCACAGTTTCCAGGGTCATCTTTGGTGGCCATTATTCGGCCTGAGGAAATTATGTAAAATATTATCGAGATGCCTTGGCCGGTGTGGCTCAGTTAGCCGGAGTGTCCCCCTGTGCACCAAAAGGTTGGGAGGCCCATTCCCAGTCAGGGCACGTACCTAGGGTACAATTTTGATCACTGTTTGAAGTATATGTGGGAAACAACCAATTAAAGTTTCTCTCTCACATCAATGTCTCTCTCTCTCTCTCATCTCCTGTCCCCTTCCTTTCTCTCTAAAACCAATAAACATATTTATAAAAATGTATAATTGTGGCTATCACATTAAATCTGATCATATGAAAATTCAGGATGCCATAAATGATACCAAAGTCAAAATTCAGTTATTTCACTTTCTAAATGCTAAGGCTGAGGTCAAAGCCAAATGGCAGATTTTGGCCAAATAGAAAGAGTGGGGCAGAATTTACTAGCATGACTATACACAGTTTTATGAGCTGCTTTAAAAAAAATTGACTGTATATCACAATGATTTAACAAGTCCTTCCTCAAGTATTTGTTAACATTTTTTCCCTAAATCATGATTTACCTAACCATTTTTTTCTGTTTTATAAATAACATATTAAAGGTACTGGTTCATAACATATATGTTTGATTATTTCTTTAACGTCAATTTCTAAAAGTAGAATAACTGGATTAAGAGTCTGAACATTTATGATATTTTGATACAACCTGTCAAGTGCGATTAAGCTCTGACCAGCACTGTAGGATAAGGGTGTTGCACTCTAACAGCGCCTGCAGCACTCTGCACTCTAACATGGACTGAGAATGGGGTGAAAAAGTGCCTCCCCCGCTCATGAAAATGCTGACTTGTTGCTACTTATTTTGCACTTATTACTTATGTTTACTGGGGTGTATTTGACTGGGGAGACCTCTCTGTGAAACTTTCTTTATCTTCAACCACAATTTAATTCCCTTGCTAGATTAACGTGTGCCTCTGAATTCCCTTTGTAATATCCTGATATTCTGATTGCATGATTTGTTTATGTCAAGTTCAAAATTAGAGAAAAAGAGTGTGTGGCATTAGAAGTTAGGATGTAGGTAATTTGGGGTGAGAAAGAAGGATAGTGATGGGGAGGACATGCATAATGGGTATGGGATGCTGATATGCTTTAAGCAGGGGGTGGCTATTTCCTTTTGCTCATTTTATGAGTACTTAGAGGTACATAGTTTTCTAAATATAGTATATTTAACTTTAAAAGTTTTTTCAAAATAAAAATTAAATAAAAAGCCATAAATCATTAGTACTGATACTCATGTCTATGGCTCAGCTTAGGACAGTGTCCTCTGCTTACAATAGTCAAGTCTCTGCTCCAGACCTTGATCCTTCCCAGGAACCTTGTATTTCAATGCCATGATTGACTTAATGCTATCTAAATTGTAGATTAATTAGGAGGAAAGGGAGAGTTATTTCTATACAAACTGAACTGAGTACCGTGTAAATCTTGTCAAGTTGTGAAGCACCTTGCTGTGTAATCTGTGCATGAAACAATGATTAGAGAATAGGGGGGAAATTGTAAAAATCTCCAAGTTGTCTACATTCAGACTGTCTCAAAGATGCTTTTGGCATCTTTAATTTCTCTCACCACTTCGAGGAGACAAACACCCTGTGAACACTGTTTATGCGAGGTTATTTCAAACTCTAGCAGCATATCAGTTCTGAGAAAGGGCTTTGGCCCATACATTTTAGCAAAAATTTATTTAAACTAAAATAAGCAACTGTGTCTTTAGCAACCCCACTAATTCATGTCCTAATTGTATCAGATTGGAGGGCCATCTGCCATAGCTAAACAATGAAAGACGAAGAGAAAACAATGATAAAATATGTGAGAAGCAGGAGAAATTAGAGGTGAGGAAATACTGCTAAAGTAGAGAAGAAGGGCAGATCAACAGAAATTAGCCCACAGACACCTGTGTTCATAAACTGCAATGCTGCCTTTTGCCTCCATTTGTAACACCAGCTTGCCGTCCAACTGCAGTACCTCTCACTGCACACGAGATCCACATTTTCCAAATTACTAAAACCTAAGCAGGCGTACAAACAATGCAGCATCTACTGAAATTGCCATGATTGAAAGCAAAGGGATGTACCCATGGCCAGGTTACCCACCCTGCAGACTCACCCAGCCATGCCTGCAGCAACACTGAAGAGCTGGAGAGGGTAGTGTCACTAAGCAAAAGAAGTTTAGCTCCAGCAGATTGATCCTGAATTTTGAAATAGAAAATGTGAAAAGAAGCTCTTTTTATTTCACCACACAATTAAGTTTGTTAACACATTTGTGTGGTTTTGTTTCAGTTAGTCATACAGGTGGGAGAAGGTCAGTCTCCACTGTCTTTTCGGTGAGTGAGACACGAATGGAGTTCTGGGGAGACGCATCATGAGAGGAGACAGTCTTTTCAGCAGTGAAGTCACGGTCTCTACGTTTCCTGGTATAACGACAGTTTTCAAAAAGCACTAGAAGTCAGAGTCAGGGGAAGAATAAACTATGCTTTCACTTCCTAAGAAGGAAAGGAAGGTTAAACATCTTTTATCTATTAGCTCCAGGTTAATGTCCCAGCCCCTCCTTTGCTGCATAATACTGGCATGCTGTCAAAATACACAAGCCTGGGTCCAACCTTGAGGTGCACCTCCTTAGCTACTGTGCTCCACCAAAGCCATTTTCCTTCTGAAAGGGAGTGAAGAGGTCTGATAAAGCCTTTTATCCACACAGCCAATCCCAGGAATATACTATTCTTCAAGGGGCAGGACAACTTCTAGGGGCAGGACAAAGCGTACCTCAAACACAGAGATATCAGGTCCTGTGAGTTCTGGGCAGCAAAGATCTGCCCTTCGAGCAAGATTAAGGTTCAAGAGTTCCTGATACTCTAATCACAATGGGTTACCCATTAATAATACTTAGTAAATATTTGTTAAAATTAAAAGGGCAGGTGTGGCAACCTGTTCCCAAAGCTGCTCCTTTTACCTACATTCAGTAATGTCTGGTATAAAAGGACCTGTTCTTATGTAATTATTCAATAAAATATGATCAAGGATGAGCCTGTGAGTAGTAAGATGACATGCCGAGTGTGGAATAAAGCTTTGAGCTTTCACTGCCTGGACATCAAATAAACCAGGATTTGAATCCACAAACAACTGTTGCGCTGTGCGCAGAAGGAAGCGGCAAAACACAGCTGTCTGGGCATGGCTGGAGCACCAACCCACGAGTTATGTAACAGCTGTTGTGTAATTGTGTATTTAACTCAAAACACATTTTTAAAAGAGAAAACAATTCAATTTTCCAAAGACAGAGGGAGAGGAGGGGAAAAAAAGAAATTGAGAGCAACAGAGGAAGGGGTGGGAGACAGAGACAGAGAGAAATGTTGAAATGACAGAGAAGTTTCTGTCTGGTCTTCAAGCACGAGGCACAAGGGAGGTAAGGACTTTGGAAATAGTTGCGTTAGTATCTAGGGGACTGGACCATGAGCCAATCTGGCCTACCTCCTGTTTTGTAAATGAAACTGTATTGGAAAACACCTCCAGCCATTAATGTGTCTATTGTCCACAGTTTCTTTCCTACAGAGTCGAAGTAGGTTACAACACACACCATCAGGCCTAGAAAGCAAAAGACATTGTCCGTCCCTCTGCAGAAAAACTTTGCTGACCCCTGTCTTTAGATGAGTTAAAGGCTAAGTTTAAGTGCCCGTGAGAGCAACTATTCTCTTTGAGAACTAAAACAGCCAATTTTCTGGGAAATGCAATTTTTGTCTTGCACATGCCTGATCTGTGATCATAAGCAAGCCAATTACCCTCCCTCTGACTATAAAATGGGGAACCAAAAAAGAATGGAAAGAGAAAGCAAGGCTCCAGGACCTGGTGTGGCATAACTATTCAATGAATCTTCAGGTTCCCCTCTCTGAATCTCTAGGGAAAAAAAACTGTTCTTAATTCTTAGTAATAAGAATTAAGAGCATCCAAAGTTTTCTATCTGTTCCTACTGTAACTTTTGCTAGAGCTTCAATACAATGAAGTATTGTACTTTAAGTGGGAGCAGTGCAGTTAAAATTTGTTTTTTTGAATGTTCCCAGCTTGAAATATTAATTTAATTTTTAAGAACTTGAGTTACTTTGAGAGTCCTCTTAAAATTCACTTTGTATAATTGCCCACGTTAATGATAAATACATCCAACTTCCAAAACCAGAGGTTACTTTCATTTTAAATGAGTTTTAACAAATGCTAGTTATTGTCACATTGCTACTGTGGTGACTGTGTGTGACAGTGCACACAGAGTTCCTGAAAACTCCAGCTGAATTTTCTCTTCCCATTTATAAAGAGTGTTTAGAGCTTCAGAAATGACAGTAGGTCTACTTACCCAGCACTTAAAATACACTCAATTGCCACGATTTTTTAAAGCTGAGTTGAGGTAGAGGGCCTTTCTTCCCCAAACATTCCCCTTTCCCCCTCATAGCAGTGACCTGAAGATACCTGGCCAAGGTCCTCTCCGCACCAGCTTATACTGAGAACAAGTGCCTATTTAGACTCTCAATGCTCAGATTCTCTCTGATTCCCAGTCTGTCAGAGAACAGAAAGTTTCACAAGAGCATAAAAAGCATGAGAAGCCAGAAAAATAATAACTGGCCTTAGTGGCCAGAACAGCTGCGCTGCAAACCCTTATCACAGGTTTCAACTTTGTAAATTAATTCGTCTGCAAATAGTGCCCTGTCTCCAGATGCTGCTTCGGTGCTGGAGCACTGGTTTCTTAAGGATTTAACTTTAAAGTCAAGGGCTTCCTGCACTAGGTGTTACAAATAAGTAGTGTCATTTTCTTTTTGCTTGGAGGTTGTTCATCCAATCATATCCCAGTATGCAAATAAACCTTAGCCCTTGCAGATAAAAAGGAACAAATAAAGCCAAGTGCTCTATCAGAACTAAATCGCTGAGCCCGTCACCTGTATTTCAGGAGCTGAACCAGAAATGTCGTCCTCAGGCACGTCAGACTTACCTGTCCCACTCACCAACTTGAAGTTTCAATATACTAAGGTTAGTACAATTTATATTTGCTGCATTGTGTCAGGTTTATAAAAACTACATTTATTTAAAGCAGAAAATGTCAATTTAAGTAAACTTGTGTAAAGAGCCCTTTGCAAGTACAAAAATAAGAGGCTTGCAAAATGTAGTTCTAAATCTAGTGTCTTGACCAAATGATGAATTCTAACCCACATTGGGCAATCTTTTATAAATTTATTTCTTAAAAGTATGTTTATGTGAAAAGCATTCTCTTCTGTGTGAGATGTTCTTGTGTCTAGATTCACTGGGTTTTACTAAGCAGTTCTATTAACTTCGGCGCAGCCCAGCATGCATGGGACAAGAGTAAATACTTGTTAGAGAAGCTAGAAAGAGCCAAACAAGTGGGAAATGATTTTTTTTAAAGAGAAAGAAAGAAGGAACAGCATGCTGAAGTAATATGATCTTTTTATATGAGTAATGAGTGTCAAAATCAAAGGACCTAAGTCTGAGTATTGAATAAAAGCTCCTGTTTCAAAAACTTTCAATGGACTTGCATTATTTAGCATGTTTTGGGAAAGAAGGAATTCTTACTTATTTCTTCAGCGAAAGTTGTAGCCATTGGAGCAGATGTATAATTATTAGCTGATAAAAATAGAGAGAAACAAGAGCAGGAGCCAGATCCAGACTCCAAATCCACAGCGAGGGAGAATGAGGGGATGGATCTTGTTTGAATCGTTCAGTAGGCTTTGCCTATTTCACCCTGCCGTATGCCAGCTTTCCTAGCAGAGCCTAGAACTCCCAAACAAATAAAAGGAACAAAAAAAATAATAATAGTCTAACCAAAATCACTTAAAGTTAGCTTTATATTGTGATGGAGAAAGGAAGGTGAGAAAGGAAGTATTTCAACTCAGAAAGAGCAATTTTGCTTTCCGAATCAGTCAATGAAAAAAAAATCAAGAAGATTATAATTTAATGATAAAGTAAAAGACTCGTTTTTATTTATTTACTTTTTATGTCCTTACTTGTAACCATGGGTGGTTTTGTAATCTGAAGTTCAGTTACATTCTCATTTTCATATGTGCGCAAAAATGAGGAAGTTGCCCAGCCCCTGGCTCTTTTCCTTAGGAAAGTGTCTGCAGAAATCAGATTGTGCCTTTAACGTGGTTGACCAGCAGCTGTAATGTGTCCTAATGTTTTATTTTCACAAGGTTTTCTTAAAAAGGGAACATTTTTTTCATTTAATTTTATTCCAAATGGGAGCATTAAAAATGTGGTGAGTCCATACCCCCAGCAATTCCACTTGGCAAAGGTATGCCCAAAAGATAACAAGACTCAAGACTCCAACCTTCCCAACTTTCTTACTCCAAGTTGGTCAATCACAAGAAATTTCAATCCAAGGCAAATTGAAAAATGTGTTTCATAAAGACCATAATCCTTGGCAATGACTGAATCATCCCACTACTATTTTTACAAAGAATCTTTTTTTTTCCCAATGCTCCTAACTGGGAAGATATTTGGTAGTCTGAATGTCACATTTTTTAAAATGGGGCTTTGCAGAAATTTGTAGTCTCCTCCTAGGTGCACCTCAAGGAAGCTTTAATGTGAAATACTCTTGACTGAATTAAGCTTCATTTAGTAGTTATTAATTAAGCATGTAAGAGACAGTACTAGACAACTGAGATGGTCATTAAAATCGAACACACAGACACAGATCAAGTGATCCTTTAAACGCACAGAGAAAAATTTTTAAGATGGAAACCTCTTGTTCCCTTCAAAGTCATGACACAAGAACACCCTTTTAGGAAACATGACTGACCTAAGAGTTCAAAAGAAGGCAAGATTCAAAGAGCAGGATTTGCTCTTGCATTTAAAAACTTTTCTGGGTAAAAATACCCAGTGCAAGTCAGGGAATTTTGATTGCTAACACATCTTCTCTATCAATCTGTTCTGCTCAGATAGCATTTTATTGTCTGACTTACTGGTTACAGCATTTTCACACTTGGAAGGACACCAGTTATGTATGTAATTAAATCTAAATGGGTGAGCTTTTTCAAATGCCTATGCATTTTCTTTTTACTGTGCCCCACTGAAGAATTGTATTGGATTTGCACTTGCAAGAGGAGTTGGAAAATGATGGTTTAATTAACATTTTCCTGGTTGCAAACCATATAAACAACGATTTTATAGTGTCCGAGGAATTACCATCTATAGCTAGCCCCTAACCTTTGTATTATTTTTCTCTTACTATGTTAATATCCTTTTTTTATCATCACTAGAAGTATGGTCCTTGGGGCAAGGTGGAAGGAAAAGACAAGCAGGGTTGAGTAACAAAAAGTTATTACAATGATGGCAGAACTGCCTACTCTCAAGCTTGAGACTGTTTTTCACCCAAACAAAAGAAGTCATTGTTGCTTATTTTTTATGATGTATTCTCTAGCACAGTCTGATTAGTTTTTTTGTTGGGGTGGGTAAAACAGAGATCAGAGTTAAGAATTACATTCTAAAATGATACAAAGGTTTTTAGAATTTAAAACCTCAATAACATCATTATAATTCCACGTAAACTCGGATCCCACCTCTAGCCTCATTTGTCCCCTTTCCAACTCTAAATGAGTCATACATCTATCAACTCATCTGTTTTATTGAGCCTTTAAATGAAGAGCTTCTTTGAAAGTTATGTGATCATTGGACAAACTATATTACCCCCTCTGCCTTGGTTTCTTTATGTGTAAAATGAAAATAATAAGGATATCCATTTCCTAAAATAGATGAAAGCATTAAATGAGTTTAATGCACATAAAGCACTTGAAATACTACTTGGCACTTGGGAAGTAACCAATTAACAATTAGTTAACCTAGACCTATTTATTTTTCTGATTGTTTCCAGTTTCCCGGAATCTTCTCTTACTCAGCTTTTCCTAGAACTATTCTCATTCTCTTCTAGTCTTTTTGTCATTCTTTTTTGCACAGTCATGCCCCACTTGATAAGGTTGGCACTGGAGTGAAGTTCCAAGGTTTATCCAGGATTTCAGGGGTCAAGAATTTTCTCTAACAGAATTTGGTAATTTTGTTTTCCATTTTCCTTTCACAACACTGATTTTCTACCTTAAAAAAAAGACATAGGAAATTCAAGAAGACAAGCTTACTCAGGATTCAAAATTTTAAAACTGAAGTCTTAAACTTAACTTATTGAATAATAATTTGTTTGTGCCAGAAAAATCTTCATCCACTAATGACATTGCATAAACACACAGTAGGCATGTGAGCATGTGTGCACACACACACGCAACACAGGAAACAGTTTTAGCTAAAATCCATCATGCTTACTCTCTGCCAGTACTGTTTTAAGTTTTTTATAATGATTTACACACTCCTCACAATAACCCCCTGAGGAGGTTACTGTTTCTGCTCTGTAGAGAAGACAGATTAACAGAGTTGCTAAATCACTAGCCTGAAGCCACACAGCCAGGGACAGAACTGGACTTTGAAAAAGCCAGTAGTCTGAGCACTCACACTGAGTGACTTCTCTAAGATCAGTATCATTGCTTTGGGGCAGGAAGTTGCTGGCATTCTGTCCTGTTCATTGTGTCCATTCCTGACGACTGAAGGGAACATGACCATGAGCCCCTCCAGTTGCTGCTCAGCTGTTCGTAGGTCCCCAGGAGAAAGAAAAGACAAAGCTTTCTTTTCCCAAAGTTTGCTGAATAAAGAAAGTCCATTTGAAGTTTGCGAAACTGGAATTTTCATTCAAAAGATGTATTTTTGATAGAGAAAATTTATGAATCATTGAATATTATGTGCTAGGCACCATTATCTCCTTATAAATTCTCACAGCAAATTCAGGCCACATGCATTCTTAAATACACCATCCTCTTCACCCATTTCTCCCATCTTCTCTTCTCTTACTTAACGCCATTGGACAACCACTCTGTGCTAGGTCTTATAGTACAAAAGGACTAATATGATTCTTGCCTCATGGGGCTTATATTCTTGAAGGGTATATAGGGTGGTATGGGGAAAATAAACAAGTGAATAATTTAATCACAAATATGATAAGTGTTACAAAGAAGAAAACAGGAAGCTAAGAGAATATGAGAGGAAGATCTTCCTCTTGAGGAGATTTCAGGGAAGGTCTTTTAAAGGAAGGTTTTTTTCAAAAGGAGGGAGAGTTAAGGTGAGCAGAGCATAAGGTGACCTTGGAGAGTAGGAAAGAACAAAGATCCAGAGCTAACAGCACAGGCAAAGACCCTGTGAAGAAGAGCTTGGTGTGTTCAAAATACTATCAAAAGTCTAATGTGGCTGGAGCAAAATGATGAAGGGAGAGAATAGATGAAGTGGGACCAGAAAGAGACTACGACCAGATTGCCTGGTAGATTTTATTTAAGGGAAACCACTGGGGGGTTGGGTGGTGCGGTGTTTAAAACAGGACAGGACTTATATTGAAGACAAAGCTGATTGTGCGGTGACCCTGTTTTCACTTGGGAGCTCCTTTTAACTCACTTCTGACAGAAGTAATATTTGTTTGCTTTTGACTTGGAAGCAGTTGAATAAATAGCTGGATGACTGCAAGGTATAGTGGCTTAACAAGATAAACTCAGCTTCGATTTCCATCTCTTCCACTTAGTTAATGATATGAATTTGGCCAGGCTTCTAATCTTCAGTTTCGGTTGGCCTGTCTGCACATTGGGAATAAGAATGACTACCTTGGAAAGTGCTTGTGAGAATTAAGGGAGGTAATTTGTGGAAAGTGCTCAGCACTTATTAATGATATGGTTTAGGCTCTTTTTAACCCTCTTCTTCCCAAGATGAGTTCTAGAGTTCTAAAACTGATTGTTTTCAATGTAAGTGGAATGAATACTTGAATTGCTAGTCACAGTTCAAAGCTGCTTTATTTCTATTGATCTCATTTGGAGTTCTTAATTAATCATGGGAAAGGAACTAGGGAAGATGGTACTAGTTTCCCATGTTAAAGCTTAGGTGTGCAAGCTCAGAGAGCTTAAGTGACTTGCTGAAGGTCACACAGCTCTTAAGAG